AAAAGTGTTCAAGTTATCCTGCATCCAGAAGTACTTTTATAAAAGTGTTTGTTTTATTTTATGCTACAAAAAGTATTCTTGCACAGTTTTCATTGACTGAAGAAAGCTGCATATCAAGGTTATTGTATATCATTTATTCTATGCTGCTTCTAGACAACCAGTTAAGGGAGGATGAAGACAGACCGGAGACAGATTTCACAGTCTTCCACTGGACACCCACACTGACATTTGCAAAGCAGAAAAGATATGTTGATTCTGTAAACCATTTTCTCACACAGTAATAATGAATGATACACAGGAGAGTCTAAACTAAGTTCATTTATAATAATGCAAGAACATACCCAGTCCGGGGGTTATAGAGAAATCCAGCCAATCTAGAGCAGCGAACCTGTTTTCAAATAAGAGTCATACAAAAAGTTGTGGTGAAGAATAGGAAGCCACTTCATTTGTGGGACATCAATATGCAAAACAGCAGATGATCTGCTTTTGGGCTTGGGCTCAGGCACTGTCGTAAGTCTCCCTTCCACCCACGCAGGCAGGAAGACTAAGAAAGACACTGGCCCACACAGTGGAAGTGAGAGACTACTTACTTATCAAGGAAGCAAGGAACCACCCCTTGGCAAGAGCCTGTTTCTATTTTCTTTTTTTTCTTTCTTTCTTTTTTTTTTTTTTTTCTGTACTTCGATACTTTTTAAGCCTGTAGAAACCTCAGCTCTGAAGAACTTTTTCCTCCTTGATTTTGCTTTAGTTTTGATAGGGAATATACTGGCTAGAAAAAAAGAACTTCTAATGGCAAACAGAAGAAGACCAAGTTCCTTTCTTGGAAGATTATTAGACAACAGAGATTTTTTATTGCATTGAATGGAATTTTAAAGTTTGAAAACTCTCCTTCCTTCTTCCTTTTCCTCAGTACAGGTTTCTTAAAATACTGCTCCTACTTTTTTCCCCACTCGGCTGCAGTCTTCAGCTATTTTAAGGAGTATTTCAGGAAAAAAAATAATGTGTTGTGCTTTGTAACCCAACACACTGCAGGATGTTGCAGGGCCTGTTGTGACAGACAGTCCCTCATTGCTTGCGTCCCCTTTATCGCTGCTTCAGATACAGACTGCTCAGAGCCACGAGGCTCTGGAGGCAGCAGCCATCCCTGTCCGAGAGAGCTGCAGGAGGGTGACAGCACGTTTCTGCCTGAAATCAAAGGACAAGGTTTTGATCAAGATTTTTGATCAAAGGACAAGTAGGTTTTAATGACACTCCAGAATGGAGTAAGAGCAAGAACAATCTTCGTATAATCCTATAAACTTCCTGGCCACCGTGTATTCTGCACATCTTCATCTGTGCCTTTCCTACAGAAGATCTCACAGAGTTACTAGACATCGATGTCACCTTCCTCTTGGTTTTACTGGCTCTTGAAATCCTCAGAAAAATGAGGAGAAATTGAAAGGAGACTTGTCAGGAGAAATATTCCTGAATCCTATTTCTGGTTCTTTCTTTCTATCCCATGTCCAGGCAGACCATGATTGAGCAATACCCACTAGTTCTCTGACAACCTTTGGAAAGCAACAGAGGGAGGTCCTTCAAACTCTCCCTTTCCTGATTTTTCCTTTAAAGTTTCCAATGCTTTGATCATCAGCCTTACAATCAGTCAGTTTGCTCATTCAAGGCCCTTCTCATTTCATTCCTTTTCACTGTGGGGTTCCAAGAGGAAAAACAGACAGCAGGAAAAGGACTTCCTGTCCCTCCTCTCATTCTTGTGTGGCTGTGGATCATCTACCATCCCATTTGATGAAAGAAAACTACCACTTCAATTGCTGCCCCATAGTCATCATCTGCTCAGACTACTGCAACTCTTCTAGTGAGTGGCATCCAAATTTCAGGCTTCTTGTTGATATTTCTAAACTAAAAGTTAGCTTCTTATTCTCACACATTATTTTCAGCATCTCTATCTTACTCTCATATAGAGAGAAATACAAGGGCTGGACACTCTCTAATCTAGATGAGTGATTCAGATTTGCATATTAGCTATCTTCCAGGCCATGCTGAAGTGGCAAAGGAACAAAGGACTTCGGGAAGTCTTCTCTTGGCAGGTGGCATGACATCGTCCTTTACTATCTACATAACATCTCCCTTTACTAGCTACATGCCACTGCTGTTATGTAATTTAAGGCATTTCCTCGTGGTTTATGAAGGAGGTTATTTCACAAAAGTGAAAACAAACACGCTCGGAGCAGTACAGATAGTGGCAACAGGAGGCAGGTGTTTACTCTGCTCTCCTCCAACAAAGTGATCATCTCTCAATGGCAAGGAAATACCTTACCTTATTAGACATTATGGGTTCAGAACTCTTTCAGGTTCACTTGGGTTTTCACTTATCTTAATGATTTTTTATATTTGATTTTATTTTTTTTCAGGTTTTGTTGTGATTTTGATAAGTAGCTGATTTTTTTTCTAATTATACTTTCTTTGTTTCTTTCTTGCTTGCTTTCTTACTTTCTTGCTTTCCTTGGGGGAAAAAAAAAAAAAAAAGATTGTCTCTTTACCCCTTTTCTTTCTAGCCCAGTATTTATTAAATTATTTTGTATTTCATAGGGCTATAAGCTAACACTCACTGAAGTAAACAGCAATACTTCAGGGGTGAAGGGTGACTTCAGCAAGCTCTGGAGGAAAAGTCCTAAAGTCTCACACCTTCCAGGCAGAGTTAATATTCTTGTTGGAACATCTCCCACAATGGGCATGTTTTAACAAGTATACCTGTGATTAAGCTGAATTATTAAAAAAACGGATGTACACAGCCCTAGAGGCTTCTGACAGGTTTCTGACTTTATTCGGTAATCAAACATAGGCAGATTTCCTACTGGAATTTATTGAGAGCCTTTTTAAAAGGAAGAAGGGAATGCTACTGAAATCAGCAACAAGTGTCTTGTCCTTGCCCCGGGGGCAATGCCGTGCACCAGGCAGGGGCTGGCAGAGGCCTTTGGTTCAGGTAGCACTTGCAGCCCTGACCTGGAGAGGCAGCCAGGTCACCCATGTGTGACAGGGACATGCCCAGGTCCCCAGAGTGCTGGCCAGCCCCAGGATGTGCACTGCACTATCATGACAGAGGATAGAAATCTTCTACCCTACCTTCCTTTTCCCCTTAGAAAACACAGTATTAAACACAGCAGGTTCAGCCCAGCCATTTTCTATAGACCTCAGCCTTACTGCACCAACAAAAAGTCTGTCCAAAAAATATCTCTTTTATCTGAACTTTTTATCTTCTGGGAAATAAAAGCCAATCTCTTCCCTATGGTACAGCCTCCCTGATGTTCCTGGTTCCTCCCTGACAGCCTGTTCCATGCAGGGAAGGGAGGGCACACACATCCCCAGAGCCATGGCACTGTGAGCCCTAGAAGAGCTGGACAAATTCATGGAAAACAGATCCACCCTGAGTTATTCATCTAGCTAGGGAAGTCTGTGAGTTTCAGGGATGCCGGCTGGGAGAAGGTCTGCAGAAGTACTGCTAGATACTGGCTGTGCTCACAGTGCTGCTGCAGACAGCAGTTCTTGAGTTCCTACTGAGCTCAGTGGCATTTTCCTGGTACAGCAATTCTTCACTTCTTGTATGTCATCGCTACTGAACAAAATCTGTTGCATATTTTGCTGATTCTCGATAAAAATCATTTTAAAAAGCTATTTTCTACAAGCCAAGACTGTTTTTTTATCTCCCTCTTCCCTTCTAAATATCAATTATACTACCATTTTCAGTTAAGTCACACTCACATAACTTGCTTTGAAAAGGGAATTAATAAACCAAGTCCAGTTGTCTCCCTTGGCAACTAATTTTTGCAAAGAAAAGGTGCCTTCCTAACACAACATTCCTGTGTAGCTCAAACTACAGTATTCCTCAAGGTTTTGAATAACACCTAGGAAAAATATTAAAACACTATTGTACCTTCCTGCCAGTGTCCCTTTTGTCTTCCAGGTCAGGACTGAGCAGTTCAGGAGGAATTGCTTCAGACAGCATTAATTTACTACTTTGACTGCATAATAAAAATATGACATCCGTGAATGATGTGTAGAGATAATTCTTGTTTTAGTTAGGAAGTTGGCTCTGAACATCATTCCTCTGTATCACTGTCCTATGGCATGGGTCAAAATCACAAAAAAAAAGTTCTTTTTTTCATGTGACCAGCTGGTATCTTTTTATTCTGGTAAGTACTAATAGAACAAGTGCAGCCATATCAAAATATTGCAGAAGAAAGAATGGAAATTATGTTTTATTATTTATATATTTTATTACTACATATCCTCTTATATATTTCAAAGTAAAAATAATAAAGCAATTGAAAATATTTTTCCCTTTCTTTCAAATAAAAAATCAACAAGAATAAAAAAAATAATTTTATCTCAAAATATGACTTGAATGATAACATGTTTGACAGACATAGAACACAATTCTCTGTGACAGCAAATAGTTTTTCAAAATATTTAGCAATTCACTCTATAGTCAGCTTGCCAAGTGAGAAAAAGTGATGTCTTTATTAATTGTCAAAGAATTCAACACACTCTGAGTATATTTCTGAAATCATTGGGATCATAAATAAGTCCAGCTGTTACCAGTACATTAGCACAGCATTTCTTCTAATCACACACACATCTGTGCTTTATTTATTTTTTTTTTTTTGTACTAGCCTCAAAACTACTCCAATGATATCTGGAAAAGGAGTAATATTAAGAAAATTACCTTATCTTTTTTAAGGTCCGCATTGTAACTGATTATGACCTTGAAGAGTTCCATAAATTATCTTGCTATTATTGATGCTAAATACAACTCAGTGATTGGTTTGGACCGGGACCTACCTTGGTTAATAATTCCATCAGCTTCCTATGGCCAAAAGAAAACTTTTGAATCAGTCTTACTCAGCATAATTACCAGCAGCACAGGATGACCTAAGAGCCTCAGTCTTCCCCTTCTGTTCTGTGGTATCATATCTGAATAACATGATATATTTTGAAAAAAAATAAAAAACTTTCCAAGATCATTTGTTTTAGTGCCTTGTAGTTTACTAGTTCTTTACATTTCTGTGTGATTTTTGCCGGGGAAAAACTGAGAAGACACAATTCAGGCTTCTTAAGTTGTAATGTTAACATGTTATTCTTATTAAAGATGATTTAAAGAGACTTCAGTGATTTCAATATAAAGTCTTAGTGAATAAATAACTTATAAATAGTTCCAGTGTAGCTCTGTTGTGATATCCTTTCTTTGACAATAATATTTAATTTGATAGAAATTCGTACTGGTCTTTCTAACAGCTGGACAGAGCAGTAACTTCTACAGTCTCATCTCAGAGCCTTAACAAAAATAACTATTAATGAACTGATGTTCGTTAATACAAAACTAAAACACACAACTATTACTGTTGCCAAGCAAAAGGATCCTTTTTATATCTGGCTTAAATATCCCTTCCTACTGCTACAGCATTTCTTCAGGTTACATTTATTGCAGAGTAGAAAGGTTATAAAACTGCAAATATCAGACCAGGAAGAGCTGAAGCTGCATTAACTCAGTCCACTCCTATTCTGTCTGAGGAACTGAGAGGGCTGGACCTTTGGGATCATCAAATCTGCTGTTTGTTGTGAGCTGCATGATCATGTGGATGCCATAGGCCACGATCCACAGCAGAATCACAGAGGTCACCAAGCCCATCCAGATGGCAGGAGTGAAGAAACTTGTACAGTCGCTCGCATAGGAAAATTGGTTGTTTTCAATGTTGAAGCCTTGAAGCTGAGAAAGAAAAAAGTGTAAGTAAGTGCACATAAATATACAGCACAGACCCTACTTTCAGGATGTATTTGGCCCATACAAAACCCACACCTGTTAACTACTATTCACACCCAGACCATTAAGAAGACTCAGAATTAATATTTTTGCATAGTGATTTTCCCTTTTTTTGTGCAGAGCACAGGAGCAAAGTTGTGTTTCCCACCTCAGAAATTTAAGCTACTTTTAAAAGTAATATTCCAAATGTGATGTGAAGTCGAATTAGCTCAATGAACCACCAGGAGACTCAAAGCACTCAAAAACACATTCATTAAGGTTTTCCAAATGACGATATTTGTTGAAAGACTCCGAAATTTTTCAGGCGCAGCAGATTTTTAACATCAAAACTCTTGAAGCCTACTTTAAAATGCATTTAATGATTGATGGCTGAGTTTGTCTGGGTTAATCTGATTCTGAATCAGATTCTGAGCTTTTCCTATATCAGTTCAAAATAAAAATAAAATGGCTACTATTCTTATATACTATTTACATATTCTTTGAAATGTATGCTTAAGGAAAGTATCAAAACCTTAAAATCATTTTCCATAAAATGACTTCATTTAAATCACTCTCCTCACCAACCAATAAGTGATGAGGCAGGAGATCATATTTTTCTACTATTATATATTTCTACACACTGATTACTCCTTGCTTTATGGTGAGTAAACTGGATAGTTTTGTGGTAATAAAACCAAATTTGTACTTACAAGGAAAAGTCTTGGTGCAAACAGTGAAGACTTTAGTCTTTGGTTTGCATATAATGCTATCTCATTAAGCCCTTCAGGTTTGCATGCACTTGTGGCTTTGGCACCTTAAAGTCAATGTGTATGCAACGCATATGTTAAGAATGACATCTTTATTCCCCCTAAAATGCTGATTAACAAACTTTTGTCATATGCAGAACTAGTTTCTAGGGTTATGCAGGCACTGCAGTGAAGACAAGTATATAAGGTAGGTTGTTTTGGGCAAGACAAGCTTTCCTGGGCCTCTTGCAAGCCCTCCTCAAGTTTTACAATGAAAGTTAACTGGCAAAAATGTTCTGTTTTCCACTATAATGTGCTCTTTTCCACTATAAGAAAAAGAAGCTTTCGGGTTGGATAACTATTTGCACACAGTTTTATAGAGCACAGGTGATTACCAAGGCCTTTGCTGGTTAAGCCACTATTTAGACAGCAGATGAGAAGGAACTGGAGCTATGAAATGCCAATTATGAAAGAAAAAAAAAAAAAAAGCTGGTGATGATTTATGTCGTTTTGGTTCACAGAAAAGAGTGAAGGCCTGAAAAACAACTGAAAAACAATAAGCTCTTGTTACTATATTTACAAGAACTCTCTAAGGCACTTAGCAAGTATATTTAGTTTAGCGAGGATTTACTGCTTCTGATTTAGAGCCAGAAATACTGGGTTTTTTTGATTGCTTTTTTTTTTTTTTTTTTTTTTTTTTTTTTTTTTTTTTTTTTTTTTTTTTTTTTTTTTTTTTTTGCCAAGTAGAATTATTCCTATTGAGCCTTTCAGGTGAAAGATTTAATTGCACATTCTTAAAATGCTATGTCTACCTTTTAAGAAGGAGATGAAGTATATTAATGGTTCTTTTATTTTATTTTTTTTCTAAAGCTTTATCATTTCTGTGGGAGTGTAAGATCCCAGCTGGGAGATACAAGTGTGATTTCTAGCAGCATTTCTACCTGTGGAAAGTTAAAAATACTTAAATGTGTTCTTTAATTTTTATGCATATAGAAGTCTTTTGATAGAGACCCCTGTCCTGTAGAAGCTTTTAGTGCTTTGACCAGCATCATTTTTCTCAGTTATAGTAGTCTGCATTTTCTGTTCTTTTCTTTTTTCTTTTTTATAGGATTTGCCATAGCACTTTATCTTTTATAAAATGTTTAAGCAAATCTCTGTTCTTTCACTGCTTTTAAAGGTACACTACACCTAATTACTGATGTTCGAAATATTTTAGCCTCAAAAAAGTCTGGAATAAATTATGCAAGATTTAGCTGTGCAAGAACTATGTGCTTCTGATACTTGTTTTTTATATATATATGTTAATAATTGTTTGCAGGAGTCAACAAGTAAAGTTCAAGTATACCAGCTAGATAGGCACTGAAACTTCGTTTCTGATTCATTGCTTAACATTGACATGGAAAACAAGTTCCTCCATGTCAGCTGCCAAATTCTGTGCTGCCTACACATCTGTAGGCACATCCCCGGTACTTTCTCTTATCTTGCAACAGAGCTTGGGGGTTTTCAAACTTCATTTTAGGACAAAGATTAATATCTCAGCTGACTGAGTTGAGATAATTTGGACTGAACTATCAGTGGAAGGAATCTAGAAAGGCATGCTCTATTTCAGATAAGGTTTAAAAAGTGGCCCCAAATCATGACTTTCCAGTTTTACTGAAGTTCATAAAAGAGAAATGATCAGAACAGGGCTTTTCAGGTTGTGTTCCACAGTGAAGACTTAGTGTGAGAAAAAGGCCTTCCCCAAGAGAAACCGAGAGCCAGAAGCTGCTGCTCCAAAACTGTAAGGAAGCCAGGAGTCCTGTTCATTCTGTTCTTGATCTAGATCCCAATGAATGCCTGCTCAAGATGGTACAATATCTAAACTTTGAGAAAATAAGAGTATCATTGTGTGTAGAAATTCTAAAAAAAAAAGAAAGACAGACTGTTGTAAGTGGACACTTCATAGCCCCTGCCCATAATGATGTCAAAGGCTTTGCTTCACACTCCAGTTTGCTAGGCAAAGTACAGTCATGTGGACAGTCATTATTTTTTTCAAATGTTCCGATAAGAAATATAATCACCAAGAACCTTCTCAAAATTGATGCCTACTGCTGCTAGACAGTTTCTCAAAAATAATGGGACTTGATCTTGGAATCTGTGGATTTCTGCATTCTTTTATCTTTTGATTCTGATAGTATGTGTAGAGGATGGGAAGGGCTGATTCTCTCTAGTGTGTTTCTCAGAGATTTCCATTGTTTAAGCATAAATGCCAAATATGGATATAGGTCACTAAAATTTTGTTTTGTGGTATCCAACAAATAAATCTGTATTAGCATAAATCTGTATTAGCATTTGTATCCTGTTAACACGGGCATCAGATTAACTCTGACAAATGGAGACTGACTTGGAACTATTCCTGTCATTTCCATGATCTCTTTAATTAGGGAGATCCCTTGGTTTGTTTGAAGATATAGATGTTGGTGTGCTCCTCCTAAATAAAGATCAATACTCAAAATAATAAAGAAGTAATAACTTACACCACATATATGTAGTCTATACTACTGCATTACATATTTGGAAAATGTTTATCTCATTCAAAGAAGAGCAAACTGCTTTCTCTCTGGGCCATTTCAGACTCAATGCTGCTCCCAATTGATGTCAATGGCAAAACTTCCATTAAATCTAATTACACTGGGCTTTGTTTCTGTCTGTAGGAGTTCAGACACTCTATGTTCTTGAAAATCATAACCACACTAAGCTGTACTTTCCTAAGTAAACAAAGTGCAAAGAAATCCAATGAAAACAAGCAGCATAAAGCCACCCACTTGAGAGGTCCACGTTTCCAATAGCAGCCCAATTCATTAAACAGGCATGGGACTTAGTCATTCTTTGCATGATTAAGCACATTTGGTTTTATTGTTTTTTCTTTTCTGTGGACAGCTTCATAGCTTTTTTTGTTTTTCACGGCTGTGCTTTCACATTCTTACTGTTCAACAACTGCCTTCTCTTTTCCCCGTTATTGAATAGCTCACCTAGGGGGAACAGCTTTTCTTTTGCATTTTCCTGCAGACTGAAATGAAAGTAAGGGCATTATGAATGTATGCCATTCAGCACCTACAATAACAAATAATAGTTCTTGGAATTATCTCTGAAATGGCGATGTGTACTCACTTGGAACCTGGAAATGAAAACATCCCATTTTTTGGCTTCATCGTTGAATGGAATCAGCCTTGCAGGATAAAGATTGCTTGTTCCCACCAGCTGGCAATGAAATGAATACTCTGCGGGAGCAGAGATGTCAGAAACATTAAACTTCACAGACTTATTATCATCTTGTACAATCTCAACTGACTCTAAAGTGGACCAGTTTCTAGCCGAGCCTCCATAGAACATGTTGGTCATTACAAATCTAGAAAGAAAACAGAAAAAAAAAAGAAGTCAAAAAGGACAGGAGGAGTTAATAATCATTGAGTTTGTGAATGTGTTATTTTATGACTACTTGGAGTTTCATCTCATAAGCAATTGTTTTCCACAGCTGTGTCAGGCAATGATCAAGTAAGTGTATTTTCATTCTTCAAGGGTCTCCAACAATAGAATAGTTCATCAGTTAGCAATCGTTTATAATCAGTGCAGCAGAATATAAGAGACTGCCATTGAGACTTCAGTACTCAATAAAAATATTATAGGTTTAAAAAAAAATGTTTTTAGGAAAGACATGATAATGATTTTGATTTATTCCTGCAATTCCTCCTTAGCTTAGACATCTAAATTTGCCTTTGCAAACATCTGGATTTACAGTGGAAGATAGGGTTTTCTCTCACTGGGGGCATATGTATATGTACTGGCATCCCTAATTTCCTGATTTTGTCAGGGATAAGCATAAATAGTCTCTTTTTGCAATGGTCTATATATGGCCTTTTTGCAATGGTCTACTATGTGATAGTGCATCAATTTCAAATATCTTATAAGCATGGAGTTTATTTACATGTTGCGATCAGATCAAAATGAGCATCTTCCAAATATTTTGACATAGAAATAATTGAGGAAATGATACACTTTTTTTCCTAATTGTAGGTTGATTAACACTTTTAAGTGCTACTTATTTATATATTGCTACACTGTTTTCTGAAGGTTTTTTTTTTTATTTTTTTTTGCTAATTAGTATACATTAATAGTATAGGACAGGACTATTTTTAGTAGACTTTCTTCAAAAAAAAAAAAACTATCTAAAATGTCTATCCACTCAGGGTAACTCTACAAGTAAACTTTAGGGTAGTATTTAAGTGCAATTAAAATAAGTTTGAAAAATAAAACACGATCTATAAGTGCACCACAACACATAATATTGCATATTCTATAGGATATATATAATAAATATTCTACATTATAGAATATTGCTCATTCATTTAAATCAGTTGCCATCCAAAACATATCACATGTCAATGACTGTTAGTTCAACACAGACAATGCTCATCAGATGTGGGATCAAAATTTGACAGGGTAGGTTCTTTACAGTAATCGATCCTTTTTTTTTAATATATGTGGCTTTTGGTTCATGTAACTTCATAATTCTCAAGAGTTTTTAAATCCTAGGAATTCTAGAACCAGGAAAGGATTTTTTTTCATGTTATTCCTGATGTATTGATTCTAAACAGTCCATTTCATATAACCTTCAGCAGCAGTCATCACAAACAAAAAGGACCACTCAAATTATATCTAATGCACATTCAGTGATACTTGTAAGTAAATATTCTGTTGCTGTAATGCTAAAGTTATATAAATTAAAGCATTTAGTAATCTCTGTATCAAGGAAGGAAGGCCTCTGTCCTGAGGTACAGTATAATCTGAATCAAGTTTCTGTGATGTATGAATAGAAATGTCATAGGTATTAGCTGAATATCTTTGACCTTAAGACAGTGCCAGTTATAAAAATAAAGAAATTTACTTAAATGTTTATGCCAACAACAGCTTGTAGGTGCATTCTCCACCCTTGTGCAAAAGATAAGTAAAATGGTAAACAAGGAAGTTCTCTGGAGCTTTACCATATGAACAAAAAAGGCATAAAAGGCTAGGAGTGTGAATGGTGGTCAAAAGTGACCTTCATATGAATGCTGTCCTCCGCACTGCACCTAACACTTAGACTTACACTTTATGTAATTTACATATTTATGAGAATTAAGATGCTAAGCAGTGAATTAACTGAGCAGGATAACATCCTAGGCTTTTAGCCTTTGCATTTTATCCAGATAATTGATAAAAGGGTCTACAGCAAGCACATACTTAAGCAGACATAACTAACAGTTAATATACTATCATTTATTAAATTATAGATTACATTAAAATTGCAAAGATTCATATATTTCATATAATTTAATAAATATTTGCTTAGATGAATGGATAGAAAATGGAACAAATACAGTACAGCAAATGACATGGGGAGGAAAAACAACAAAGATTTTATCTGAAGAACCTCTACCTCTAATTTTTTTAGGGCATACTTTGTTCACATCAAGTATTTGAACCAATACAGGAAGGAAAGTGCCACATTGCTGTTGCCTACTTTATGTATTACAGCACTAACTACTCCTGGTCGTAGGCCAGATTCCCTTTGTACTAGATACTATATGAACTCTAAATGCCACTCACTATGAGTCATCATTTCATGCAGCCATTCACTATAAGCTGAAAAGTTATCTACAAGGAAGTTAGCTGGAATCCCTCCTGTCTCAAAGGTCCAAAGAGGATAATAACTATTATGCAAAAGAATTTAGAACACAGTTCTTAGATTAATTCTATTCAATTCCCTATATGCTACAAGGACTCTTAACACTCAAGTACTTCCCATAACTGGGGAAATACTAAGCAGGCTTTGTCCAGCTGCTAACAATACTGCATAGTATATAATGCAACTAATAAGATATACTCAACAGAAACATTATTCTATGATTTTACATTGGCCTTTGAAAGAAATTTGTGGTCATGGATCTCTGTTCTCTGCTCCGTCCACCTTTTTGCCCTTTGTACGGTTTGTACCCTGTTTGCTAAGGCAGACTGCAATCTCGCTAAGGAGTTAACTTGAAAAAGAAATGTGGTTAAAGTGAAGAGAAAGGGGCAAATAGAGACTGAAATGTCTCTCTGAGTTTTAGAATAAGTTCTTGAGAATTTATATTGTTGGAATAGACAAAGTGAATAAAGTTCCTGAATCATGATAAGATGAATGAATTGTTCTGTTTCTGTGGAGTATACCTTATTAGTTGCATTATATGCTATGTAATATTGTGTTAACTAATAGAAGACTAAAACAGCACAGGAACATCTCAGACGACACTTTATGAGACAGTCATGATTGTCTTTGAAATGAACTCAGTACTTATTAAGTCACTTTTTAATGATTGTTTCAAAGTTACTTGAACTCCTGAACCTGGTATTAAAATAATTACTACCTTTCACCATCTGTCATCTCTTTCTTCTTAATATTTTTTGAAAGCTTTACATAGTCATATGGATGGAAAAGTTTGTCTTACTTTGCCAAGTATCCTCAAAAGACTTTATAAAGAAAACTTTCCAGTGATCTCAAATAAAACAAAAACTAGAATATATCAAGCCCAGAAAGCTTTAAAAAGATGATCACCTTGCATGCTAAAGATACACCCTGTTATTTGTGTTGTTTTGTGTTGAATTAATACCAGGTTCAGGAGTTCAAGTAACTTTGAAACAATCATTAAAAAGTGACTTAATAAGTACTGAGTTTATTTCCTCTTCTACCACCTGTGATTTTAGATATAAACTTTGCAAAATCTTTTCTAACTACATGTTTAAACATTCAGCCAAAGATGTATCAAGTTGAGTCCTTTCTTTTTTAACATCATCATCTAGTTGTAGAAATTAGTCAGGTCAAATTACATAGTAAGTAAAATTAGAGAAGCCTGCCTTCTACCATCTTTTAGAAGATTAGTACTTCTTCTGTCCACTACACCACCTGCTTTCTCGAAGATTATCCCTTATCAATTGTCGTGTGGATATATCAAAACATAAAAAGATTTCTGAAATTATCCTCTCTTTCTGTTGATTACCTCTTTGCTACAAGGTGTCAGGTTGGTCAAATGGCAGCATTGTTGTACTTACATGCTGCTTTGAACCATTTCTCCACTGCACTAACTCTTAGAATTTCAGTGACAGAAGGAATAAACAATATCATTAATACTGCATCTTCCAACCTTATGCTACTTCAGATGAATGGATTATTACATATCCTGGCTACCATCTAGTCATTTCTATTTTGCTTTCAACGATTCACTCTACTGAATTTCCCCTTTATTGTATAACTCACCTCACACCTTGTATCCCAACAGTATTTCATTTAAGCTAGTTATTTATTTACATTACAACACTTCAAAGTGAAACTGTCATTAGCTATTAGTACTCATTGGGTGTTACAACTTCGGTCTATGCTTCATCTCTCTCACCAGAGAGGCAGTCTGCACTTCCAGCTTTCCTACAAGGAAGCGAAGGCAGGCAGACTTAGGCTGGTTCGTGAAGAGTGTCTTGGTAAAGTAACATCTCTGCAGAAATTCCATGTGCTTACATTTTCACAAAAGCAGCGTAGGAGTATAGTTGGGGAAAAGCCAACTGGAGATACCATGCTCATAATGAGAACTGCTGAGAGTCTGATTCCCCTCACTCTTATATCTGAAGACAAAGAATGATGTGAAACTGTTGGCACTCAGTCCCCTGCTGTGTAGGAGGGCTAAGTATGTAAGTGGATAGAGTCAGTTCTGCCTACAGATGTTTAGAATGCGCAGTTAGTTTCTACTCAGTGAAAGAAGAAAGATGGACTTGCAAAGAGACAGAGGGAAAAATTATCAAAACAAGTTTTAATGACATACAGAGTATTTTATCTCTTTTTAAAACCACCAAATAATTGGATTTTATTGAAGGTGGGTAATCCGTATCTTCTCTCCTGTTTTTGTCCTAATTTACAAACAGACTCTTTGTACTTTACTAAGATTTTTTTAAGAATAAATCATAAGTTACCTTATCTCCAGACTGTTGATTCCATTCACTGGGTTTGTGTATTTTAATGACAATCTAAGACAAAAAAAAAAAAATTTAATGCTAGAGTAGTCAGCTGCAATTAGATCGTTATGACATTTAAGTCAAATGAAATATTCTAAATCAACAGGCAATTACAAAATTCATATAGCAAAGATTGAGTAAGCAGAAAAAATATGACAAAATGCTTCTACAGAAATATTTTGTTACTCTTGAGCTCATTCTTTGAAATAAAGGAAAACAGAGCGCATGTTTCACTCATGCTGAATTATTACCTGGGATCTGGCAATACTCCAAGAGAATTCTACAATTAAATTATCATCTTCCCTAATGCTAGTGGAGATTTGTGTGACTGTAAGACAGAGAAAACCCTATGTGGGCCAAACACCTTCTTATAAAAAAGTAGGAAACTCAGAATTGTGAAACAGAAAAGGTAATAAAAATAGAAGCTGCAGTTGCATAATTTTTGTGTATTGACTCGCATCTGGTCTACTGAGATTTCCAATTCAGCTTTTTTATTCTGAATTCTTTAGAAGAAAATAATGAAGCTAGTATTAAATTGTTGCCCCTCCACTATTTCTGATTAGCTGTTAGAATCATGTATTATGATATGAATTTTCTTATACTACTCACGTTGAGTTGGTGTCTGAGCACTCCGAGAAGGAAATGTCCACATTCTGATCTATAAATGTTATATTTGTCAAATCTATTAATACTGAAGAGTTGGCCACGAGACTGAAATTACTAGCATAAAAAAGGATGCACGTATAATTTCCATTAGTCACATTCAGTACAGGATTTGATAAACTGTCTTCCTCCTCAGTGGCCATTAACTGTCGTCCTAATTGCCACGTCGCATCAGTTCTTCTAGAAATCTGGAATAACAGCATATTAACAATTCATTGCCTTTCCAATAGATGACATTGGTGACTTAAAACAGAGGTTTGTCACTCTATACAGTTGGCTCAAATCCTTCTTCAATCTGCACTTAACACCAATCCTCACTACTGTCTATTTAATGGGAAGCATGAAGGGAAGCTTGATGGTGCTAATCTGCTTCCCATAGTCAGGTATCCACATCTGAAAAGAAGCACTAATATCATGAGACAAATGACTGCAAAACTATGGCAACTCTGACTTGGGACAGCAGTGCCCATTAGTGTTGACAGCTATCACAAATCTTTCATTTTTATTTTTTCTTTACTGGAAGGACATACTGAAAATGGAACATACTTTTCTGTCGTAAAATTACAAGAAAACTACCTCTTGCCAGTTCAATGACCATTCTCCTCAATAACATTAACAGTTTTGGCACTCTGCATTTTAATAGACATGATAGCAGGCAGTTTATTGAATATAACAGTTTCATATTTAGACTCTTTTGATAACTTCTGGAAAATAAAAGAAGATTTACAGTCTTTTGGCCAGCCTGGCCTTACAAAGAGGCTTTATTGCACATATATTTGTTATCGGGAGGCTTACAGGAATTCCCTTTAATAGATAATGCCTTGTTCTTAGAAAAGTACTTGAAGTATTCTTGATAAAAACAATCATCTCCTTGATATCGGGGCAAAAGTTGGATGATCTTATTGGACAAAAACTTTATTGTATTGTTCCTATCACATTCTACATGATACAGACTATTCCATCTATTTTAACACCCATGTAAGCTATACAGTTTTGTAATCTATAATGATTTGTGTCTTTGGATAACTTTGTGATGCAAGGAATAAGAGGCATTACAGGATTTATCAGAACTATAATTATGAGGCTCTACTGCCTGGACACTGCAAATTACAGAAGGTTTAAAGATAGGCAAGAACTATCTTAGAAGGCAAAGACCTGTTGGTTAGAACAGAGACTATAATATAGCTCTATAACCTGTCTGTGAAGAGGAGCCCCAGAAGATTTTCCAAGATTTTTAGTGAGCAATTGATGCTCACTAAACACCACAGACCATCTGTTATTTATGATACTACAATATGGTTTTACAGATAACTATCTCATTCAAGATACAAAGCGGAATGAGCGGAGTTAAAAACCTTTGACTAAACACTCAAATGAAGATTACCCTCTTCCTCTCACATACATACATACTTTTTGAATTTCTTTTTAATTCAGAGGAGCGTCTTTTTATCAGAACACACATTATTTTAAATGAATACCATTTTCTTTAGAAAAAGAATGTACAACAAAAGAAAATATTCAACTTCTGATACAAAACTTCTAATCTTCCCTTAGGCTCTCCTCCAATATAATCATTTTATTTTAAACAGATAAGAAGAGCTGAAATCTAAATTACATCCTGTACAGCAATTGACTTCATGATGTGGGCCTCGCATGTCATCCAAAGAGGGATCTAAAAAGCACATGATAATAGCTATAAACAATGCTAGACCGGAGACTGCAATTGGGCTAACTTCCAGTGTTAGTTTTAAGTATAATAAAACAAAAAGAAATCTATTAGAATATATCCTGGAGACTACAGCGTTATTTCTATTGCTCTGCTGCCAGTATTTTACCATGGAGCTCTCACATAATGATTCCCTTAAGTTTCTGAAGAAAAGTACATAAGCCAAGAACATTTACCTGTAAGAAAGCGGTGCCAGAGACTGAAAAAATTGTTTTCTCTGACTAAATCATTTTAAACAGATTTACCTATACTAAAAAAAGGGAGTCAACAGAGCTGCCAAACACATTCCTACAGCAGCTTTTGTTTCAAACACTTGTATTTCTGACAGAAAATACAGAAAGTCATAGACTGCACAGCCCAGCCTTTCCTTGCTTACATGGCTGTTGGCAGGCAAGACAAAGATGCCAAAGCACAGCCTGAAAGTTTCACATCTCTTCAGAAATGCCTCCAAACATTTGCTACCCTTGTATATTGACCACTTCACCCTGAAGAAAGACTCTGAAATGTTTCCTGTGACTGAGGTGACTTAGCATATTCAATTGTCGGGAAATATTTCCTCACAAAAAATATGCTTTAAGATGATGCTTTGGAAGGAGGATTTGGAAAGCATCCCAATCTGGCATATCCTGGAAAACTGAGGTCAGCAATCACTCCTCCTTGCTGACCTGCATCCGAAAGCCGGGAGTTCTTCCAGGACATCCCTGCCTCTATTTCAGACCTGTATTTTCTTATTCTTTTGTTTCTGCACAAACATGACTCTACTGAATTAAATTCATTTATCACATGCTATACATTTCATGCTAAACTGCAAATGAGTAGACAGTTACTTGAAAAATTATTCTATTTATACTGAGTTCTTGTAAATCGAAGTACACTTTTAAGAACAATCCACAGTGACAAGGTCCTAAATTATTAAACTATGTTTTGTTCTGCTGTTTATCATCACCTTCTTCCCTTTTACCTTATCGGAGCCATGCTATGAGTGACTAATTCTCTTGTTAGGCTGGATTTACCGGTGACAGTTCCTGTGTCAGATATAAAGTGAACAATCAAAACATCTCATTAAGAAAAGCACAGAAAGTAATTAAATTTACATTGTCTTAGATCAAAATTGGATACTGATGTTGCTAGCTGAACAGCAATACAAGTTGCCTGGACAAATTTTCTCCCTGTGATCAGTTTTGAAAGCCTCCTAATTCAGAATCATATGTTTCGGAGGAAGAAAGACAGCTGATCTGGCAACATTTTGATGCACCAACATACTGATCTTTTTCAAACAATCAGACCTTAGATCCAAAAACATTCATTTGTTTTGTTGTTGTTGCTGTTTTTGTTGGTTGTTCCAAAACAAAATGTCTAGGACACAAAAAAAAAGAATTGGGGGCATATTATGTATTTGAAACTACAAACAAGTAGAAATTCAATGGTTGCAAACACTTATCTGAAGATATATAAATGCTGGGAAAATAAAAATTTAATTGGCTGAAATTGTGAATGTTTATGAACTGTAGAAATAAGCTACATTTCCCACTAGTTCCAAAGTTGGATTTTGGAGTATTAGTTCAGCAGATGGTTATGCCTCTTGTTTCAAGACAATGTTCTTGGCTTTTTTTAATGCTGTACTTAGGAGAGGAAATCAATAAGAAAGGCATCCTGATGGTGCTCACTATTCCTTCTCATTTCTTATGAGTCTCCATTCACATCCTCTCTGTGTAGTTGCTGCTCTTAATGTAATAAAATGGAGCGAGGGGAAGGTCTTTGAGTAAATTTAGATGAGTGAGGGAGAAAGAAGAGGGGCAAATTAAATTCTATTCCCCTTCTCAGGTTGTTTCTTTGCCTTTTTCCTCTCTCCACATCAGTACCGTGGGCTGAATCACAGAAGGACTGAGGTTGGAAGGGACGTTTGTAGATCTAGCCCAAACTACACTGTATTACATTGTCTGTGTATATCACCCTCATATGGCAAATTGCATTTTTCCTAGTTTTCTCATAATGCCTTGAGTCAACTGTTGAAATCACAAAAGTTTGTAAGAATCTCAGATTTACTAAAATTGTTGTATAAGAACCAGATATTGCTTATTAGTATTAAACTTCAGTAACAGAGAAAAGAGAAAATACGTAGGTCATGCATTTCAACATCTCTGAAAAACAAAGATAAAAGCACAAAACATTTTAAAAAGGAGGGAGAGGAATGGTTTGGGGTACTTCTGAATTTGCATGTTTGAATTACGAGGTGTAAAGTCTAAGGACGGGAAGGGAAACACTGCTAATGTGACAAGTGCTACAGTGGTACCTGAAAGACAAGTAACTGGGCTAATCTTGGTAACTTGTATGTACCACCAATAATGCTTTTCACAGGACAGGCTAACTGTACACCCTAAATTTCTCTATTCGCTTTAATGAGGATCTTTACAATTCCTTTTCACAAGGATTAATTGCTTTCAAAAAAGATGATAGAAAACTGTTTTGCGCTATGTGGTGCTGCTATAGAAGGACAGATCGTGTTTCTTTCTAGGGTTTGGCTGTGGCAAACCAAACTTGCTCAGTGTTGGCATCCCAGGCAAGTATCAGCATATTTTTCTGAAATTTCCATTTCATCTTTTTTTCACACTCAAGCAGCTTGGCTTTACTCCATGTTTTCAAACTGATGGCATCATTACAGAGAGCGTGACCACTCCTAATCTTGCCAATATGCTTGTTTTTCTGAAAGATACTGCACCAGAAACCTGCAAGGCATTATAAATATTTTGTTAATCCATAAGTAAAAAAAATAGCAAAACAGAGATTTGATCTGTCAAAATCTATAACATTAAGTAAACAGCTACCAGTTTTATTTTTTATAGTTTGAACTTCTTACATATTTGTTATACCCTATTTGTTTGGACACTTTTTTTCCTTTAGACTGTCTTAAAATATCATACCATTTTTGGCACTAGATTTGGTTAATCTTTTATTCCATTTAAACTTCAAGAAGTGTCCCTCTGTTTTACTGAGTGGACTGGATTCATCCTAAATCATTTAGAGATCTAGACCTCATCACCACATGAGTAGGACGCAGGACAAGGAAGACTCTTTTATCAGAAATGTTAAAGTCCATTTCCTAGATTTAAAAAGGAAGCAAAAGTCTGGCCTTGTTAGGATGAAATGATCCTAATGATGAAGTAAACTACAGATAATTTATCTACAACTCTTCCTAAGTCCTATTTTTGAATTAATTTATCAATATAAAAACGATTCATGACATGGTGCCTGTCCATCATCTACACAGATGTGAAAATAGCTATGAACTGGGGGAAAAAAAAAAAAACCTCCACTTGAGCAGCACAAAAATTTTGAGTAAGCGCAAATTCAGTTGCAAGATTTTATGCAGTGGCTAGTCTTGTCCTGTTCACATATATATGTGTATTCACACATACAAGCAGTATCATGCATCATGTGTAAAGTGAGATCATGGAGGCACAT